TGATGATGCATTCGTTCGTTTGGATGAAGTAATGGCTTCACTAAGCAGGATAAATGTGACTCATGGATTGCTTTATGGACTCATTAACTCAGATTCCCAACCTCATCGGAGTACAGATAGCAAGTGGTATATTAGTCCCGAGGTAGTTCTTCACTCGATTTCCTCAAATTGCTGTACTGATGTGATACACTGATGCTATGTCAGTGGATAGGGAAGCATAAGCTCTAAATTTTGCTTGATATGAGCACTGATTAGAAATAACTATGCTAGCTTCTGTTAATTTGTATTATCTTCATGTTAGCTACAAATCACCATTATATTTACCCCCAATGGGATAAAAATTGTCTTCTGCTGCTTACTATGTTCTTGCTATCATTTCCAATGAAGGAATGGTCCGAAGAGAGGTACCCACCTTGGGCACATGGTCCTGGGTATGTGGTGTCCCACGACATAGCGAAGGCTGTTTACAAGAGGTTCAATGAAGTACGCTTAAAGGTACAGTGGAATCTTTGACTACCACCTCCCTTTTTGTTGTTTTGATTGATGCAAAACAGTCACTGGCCAATGTTAAACAAATATTTCGTGTAAACAACAGATGTTCAAGCTCGAAGATGTGGCAATGGGGATTTGGATCGCGGATATGATAAAAGACGGTTTAGAAGTCCGGTATGAGAAGGAAGAGAGGATCTTTAACGAGGGTTGCAAGGACGGTTATGTCATTGCTCACTATCAAGGTCCAAGAGAAATGATGTGTTTATGGCAGAAACTCCAGGAGACAAAAAGAGCTAGATGCTGTGGCGATCGATAAGGCTTCTAAGGTATGCAATGACTCCGTTTAGGTTCTTTGACGAACAAAAACCGACAACTACATTTCACAACCAGCACTTTCCCGGTGCTAACTTTAACTTAACCAGAAATGGAGGAGGAAACCAATCAGCCATTGCTAGTTCCATTGATACGGGTCCGGAAAAATCGAGGTAATAGGTGTTTTGGTGGTCTTCTTGTTTCTTTTATTCTTTTAAAGTTTTGTTTGATAGTAGGTTGATGGGGTTGCTGATTATATTATTGTATAATAAGAAATCTTTTTGTAGGGCATACATAGTAATCAACAAGATTGATTAGGAAATGGTAGATTGACACCTTGAATAGAGAAGCCGTTGCAGCAAGAATTTGCAGGTTCTTTTTTAAGTGTTAACCGCCTACACATAAATACAACACAAATTCTTTGCAGATGTTGAATCTATTAAGTGATCTTATTAATAGAAGAGATGTGGCACTAAAAACATAGTTGATATCAGCACATTACCAACATCAAATTGAAATTGACTTTCCTTTGTTTGGTTTTGGGGTTTGAAGTGATAAACATCTTTTAAAAAACAAATTAATAAATGGTCTCTAATGCTTTATTGAATCTTTTAATTATTAAAAAATTACAGATGATTCTTTAATAATAAGATGTTTTGTTGACTCCCTCAACCATTAAAAGTTATAAAATAGTCATCCGTTAATTCATTATATTCTAAACTCATATTGTTCCGTTAAAAATTTAACGAACATCAGAGTTGGAAGTTAACATGCTCACTGAGATATGATAATCATTTGAGATTATGAGATTAGATTTTTATCATATCTTAGTCAGCAAGTTAGCGTTCAACTCAGACTGCTGTTAATTTTTTAACGGAAAAATACGAGTTTGGAACATATGAATAGTCAGGTCATCATTTTGTAACTTTTAATAATCGATGGATTCGACAAAGCAACGTCTTATATTCGAGACTATTTTATAACTTTTAATAGTTAGATGACTCAACAAAATAGTATCATATAATCAAGGGAACATTTGTATACTTAAACCCTTTAAAAATTAACATCATCAAATTCAAAGACATTAACGGTTATCTCAGTCGACGTGTTTTGTAAGTGATAAATGGTTTCTCATTAATCAACTTTCCAGATCTTCCCACAGCCTTCTTCACCAATCTATGGATCTCTCGATTCCAACTCCCTTATAACTTCCTTGTGATTTCCCCTAATCCCATCACTTTTTTTTCATTAATTGATTCATTTTAGAACTTAAAGTTTCTACCTTTCTTCTCAAGTTCCCTTCTGTTTTTTTCAAAGTTTCCATGGCTTCTGAAATTGAAGCTCCTCAGGTTTCTTCTTTGTTTGAAAGGTTGTTAAGGCACATAGTGCTTTATTTGTTTCTACCCTTTATCTTGAGATCCTCCAACAACAACAATGGCGATGTTTCAAGGCAAAACAGTGAAAACCCAGATCAAGAAACAGCTCCACAACGTGAAAGAACAATCCTAGTCAACCCGTTTACTCAGGGCATGGTGGTGATCGAGGGAGCTTCAAATTTGGAAGCTTTGCTACACGGGTGGGCTAACAAAGATGGTCACCGGTCACCCACCTGCTTTCAATGCATACGTAGAAGCCATGCCGAGCGTCGACATCGGTGAAAATGAAGATGGAGAGTGCGTGGCTTGCTTGGAAGAGTGGAAGACGAAGGAGGTTGCAAAGGAGATGCCTTGCAAGCACAGGTTTCATGGTGAAGGTATAGAGAAATGGCTTAAAATCCATGGCTCTTGTCCTGTTTTCACCTGTACGAGATGCCTGTTGATGATGAAGAGACGGGCAAGAAGAGAGGTAACGAGAGGGATATTTGGGTTAGATTTTCTTTTAATAATGGTTCTGAGAATGTTTCCTCCAGGGCAGATGAAAATGAAAGCCAGGATTAGAAGAATTTGTTTGATTTTTATTGGAAAATCATGTACATAGAAACAATTGTGTTCTTGTCGATGAATATAAATAAAATTTCGAACTTGCAAGGCTATTCTCACATGGAGAATTAGCAGAGTTTGTATCAACGAGAGACTGAGAAAACCTTTTACTCACCACCAAGAGATTGCCATGAAATGATCCACCTCGTTCCACCACTACCATTTGAGATTTTTCTCGGACAAGGTGGTCGCTGATGATGTAATCATGGGATCAGCCTGCAACTTCCTTTTAACGTCCACTGTCGTGCAAGGAAGCTCTGGTAATATAACGAACACCATGTGCAACACAGGATTCAAAAGTTTGGTCATGTAATTGAAGTTAGCTGTTTAGTTTTGGTGGTAGAATGCGGCTGACCAAGAGTTGTAATTGTTCATTCTTATGATTTGGACGATGATTTTAAAAGGAGTAACGAGGTGATTAGAAAAGAGATTTTAAATTTTTTACATAGTCCTATATCAAAGTTTACATATTAATTTTTAATGTTGGTGTCACTCTTAATAACCATCAAGGCTGTTTGTAGGCTAATAGGGCTCTTAGATATTATTATTGGGTAGTATATTTTATTCCGATAAATCATATAAGAGATTATAACTAAAAGAAAATTATAATTTTTTGAAGATTTTGATCATAAAATTATGATTTGTAAAGATTTTTTTTTGGTAACATAACAATAATCATACAATATTTCCCTTGCAACCATGAAATTATCAAAGATATTATATATTTACATAAAAATATATGACTTTTTCACATGTGAGAATACAATATTATCACGATAGATAAACTACTAAAGCATCTCCTAGTAAATGGAACGAGCATACAAATATATCAACATTTCTTTCTTGCTTTGACACCAAATTGATGTACAATCTAGTTATGGGTTCATTGTGTCAAGACAAGATGTGCTTTGTAAATGCACCTTTCACTAGTAGTATAAGTTAGGGAGATAAGTTTGATAATGGGGCATGTAGCCTATGAGATACCCTAAAAGAATAGGTTGATGGAATGGGATGTGATGAATGGGAGGCACAAAGTGATTGCAAAGTGACCAACACCTCATCTTCTTCCCACTTTCTTCATTCCACTAATAATGTCTTTTCTCTATGAGTTGTTTTTTTTCTTCAGATTCCTAAGTTTTTGACCTGACATTTCTATCTTATGCTTCCATTTACTTATAACATTCTTTAAAAAAAAAAATCCCAACTTTATACTATAGACAAAATGAGTAATATAATCGCTCCCATTTCCTGCCCGTGGAAAAACCGGTGATTTCGGTTGCCGGTCACAGCAGAAGACCCACGTGGCAAGACTATATTCGGTGAATAAATATGAACGTCGAGGATGAGACGGTTTTCAAAATGAATATTTGCCAATTTCACTTTAGCTGGTGGGACCTACACAAGAATATGTGCTGAGCTGTGTGCTTGGCAAGGCAGGTGGGTCACTTGTTCCATGTCGATGCCGGCATTGACAGGTCATGTGTATACATAACCAGTTAAGTATTTTAGTATTGGGTAAAATACATTTTCAGTCACCCAACTTTTAACATATTTCTGTTTGTTACATAATTATATATTTAGATTTTATCATAAACTTTTAAATTAAATCACTTAACTCACTTTGATTTATTATTTCAGAATATTTCTTATTTCTTCAATCATTAATTCGTTTTAAGCTCATTTGTTATCAAATTTAAATCATATACTCTTCAACCATTATAGAATACATATATCAATCCTCTTTTTGACAATTTTTCCTTTTTTTAGTTTAATCTCTTAACTTTTTATTTTATTCAATTTAATCCTCCAACTCAACCCTTTACAAATTCTTTCTTCACGTCATCTCCTTAACTCCTTTATACGTCCATCAATAAATAGCGTTATATATATATAAATTTAGATGAAATTTGATATATTGAATAATATTATAAATTTTATTTACATATATTAAAAAGAATATGAATATATTATATGATTAGACAAAGTCATTTAAATTGAAATCAATTATATCATAATATTATAAATAATCGTAATTAAATTTAAATACAAACTCCAAAAATACATTCATTCTGACTAGACTTCGACTCAAATTTTTAAAAAATAGACAAATTTAAATTTTTACACAATTCAATTCGATAAAATAATTACTACTTGTGTAATGATACGAGAAAAAGGGAGGCAAAGGAAGGCACTATCTTTTTAAGCAATGTGGAGGAATATAAGAGCATGAAAAGATCTTAAAAGTCCACAAAATGTGTGGTTCTCAATCGTCTTTGCCTCTTTCTCTCTTGCTTACTTGGCATTCCCACCCTTGTTTTTAAGCCGAACTCAATTGGGCCTCTTCAGTCTTCTTCCCCTCTCCCTCCATTTCAATTCACCAACAGAACTGGAATCAATATTTTCTGACAAAACAAACAAAAAGGTTCGGTTTAGTTATAAATATCACTACAACAAGATATTACTCAGTCATGTCTGAACTTAAGCTGTTCGGCAAGTTGATTCCATTGCTGACATTAAGCCAGGAGGATGAAGCTTTGGTCGATGATTGTTGTGACACAAATCTTCTTTCTTCATCTAGTTCTTTAGGTGCTGTTAATTCTAATCATGGGAATCAAGCTCAGCCTCCCATGGAAGAAGACCAGGTAATTTCTTTTTCTTAATTACGAAATGGAAATCATTTGATGGGCTGCTTTAGTTTCTTTCGAGGTTTTTAATGGAACCCTGTCGTTGACTCAGTTCTGTAATTTGTTCTTCTTCTTCTTCCTGCAAATCTTGATGGTTTAAGGGAGACATGTTTTGGGTTTGATTTTGATTTCTTCAAATTCAGTTTTGTAAAGTTTTACCCAGAAAAAAGAATTTTCTTTTCTCTTTTTTATACTTGCTTGGGCTGATTGCTTTGAGTTTTCTGTGAGAAATGTTATTTTCTTGCAGTTTCAAACAATCATTTCAGGTTGGCGCCGATTGCTTCCACGCAATTGAGCAAAAATACATTATTTATGTTTCTTGATCTTCAAGTAAGTTGCCCTCGCTCTGTTTTGATCTATTTCTTAAGGGTTCAGTGTCAATGAATCCACCATTGATGACGTTTTGAAAAAAATATAAACTAGTCTAAGCGTGAAAACACAGTCAATCTAACCGAAAATCATGCTTGAAATTTAATTGTGTGAAGTTCTGGTTTTTAGGGGAAGCATGAAGACGACGACAATGGCAGGATCCCTTTGTCTGAAAGGAAACATTCGTCGCTAGAAAGCTCGAAGAACGAAGAGAAGACATTAAAGAAGCCCGAAAGATACTTCCGTGCCCACGGTGTAATAGTAACGAAACCAAGTTTTGTTACTACAACAATTACAACGTGAACCAGCCCCGTCATTTCTGCAAAAACTGTCAGAGATACTGGACCGCCGGTGGAGCCATGCGGAACGTTCCGGTTGGCGCCGGCCGTCGTAAAACCAAGAGCTCTTCTTCTTCTGCCGCTTTGCATTACCATCATCATGTTATGATCTCCGAAGCTATCCTAGGAGCTCAAGCCGGTGCTGTTCTCACATTTGGTAATCCTTCTCATTTGCCTCCGCCGCCGCCACCGACTCTATACCGTCCCGGCTTTCCGGCAAGCTTCTACTTGCCGTCCCTGGGGAAACATTCCAGGGACGAAAAAGGAAGTGTTAAACCAGAAAACGGACCTTCGAATTCGAAAGCTTTGAGGATAGATGATACTGACGAGAGTGCAAAAAGCTCAATGGTGTCTGCCCTCATGATCAAAACCAACACCACCATGAATTCAGGAGGTATCTTCAACGGCTTCCGATCAAAAACCAGTAACGACGACAGAAATTATCGACTGAGAACATTCTCGGTGCTGCAAGCGAACCCGGCAGCCCTATCTCGATCACTCAACTTCCATGAAAACACATGAAAGAAGGAGATGACAATATAGCTAATAGCATGAGTGGTACAACTTGTAAATTAAATCATATTCTGATCTGAATCATGTATTGCTATATAAATATTCTAAGCACGTCAGGCGATGGCTTCCCATGGCTACATCAGTATAAATAACATATATTATAAATATTAAACCAAAATCAAATAAATATTGGGATTTTTAACGAAACATGTCCACATGATGGAGGAAAAAAGAGGTGTTTGTAGGGCCTGGATTGAATAGATAAACATGAAATTTTGATGTCATGGAAAGAGCAAGCAGCTCTCTCTTTCCAACACCAAAGAATCCAACTGCCAACCACTTGGATATAAAAGAAGAAGAAAAAACAAGAACAAAGTACTATATTTTGTGGTAAGATAACAACTCCACTAGTAAACCAAATATCATTGTTTAATAATTTCATAATATCTAAAAGATAATATATGTTTTAAAATAATTTTTAATCATTTAACGTTGAATGCTCACACCACTAGTATTATATATGGTGATCGAATTCGGATTCTCAAGGAACACCAATAATTCTTTTATCACCGAGGTCGTTTGATTCGTGCCACTTGTTTATGCTTTAAGATAAATAATAAATATATTTTATAGAAATTTAGATATGTAATATTTGAATAGTTCTCTCAATTTAAGGTTAATTTAAATTAATTTTTAACTTAAAATGCTATTATGTTCAACTTAAAATTTTATACATTTTATAATATTTTCGGTTACAACCAAAAAAATTATATTGCGACGGGTTTTGAGTTTACAATAAAAAAGGTTATACAATTTATAACATTTTCAATTACAACTGAAATTATTACGAAGAAGATAATATTTTCGGTTTTAACTATCCAATTCAAAAAGTTGTGTTTTTTTATAAGATTGTTTGTTGACGATTTATGCCGCTCCCTTATATGAATGTATTTTAGACTCTCCTTATGTAATTAATATGATTTTTATGCTTATATTTAAATATGTATAGAATATATATAGATGTTATAATATATATTTTAAGTCTCATTTACAACACTTAAACATATTTTAAAGTAAAATATATAAAGTAAAACGATCACAATTCCAAGTTATATATATACACACGAATAAATTAGAATTAAATCTAATAGTTACTATATATATTTAGAACAGATTAAAATAAATTCAAAAATGATTTATACATTATGAGATTTAAATTGGAATAAAATTTTAAGATAATTTATGATATAAATTCTTTATCACTTTTATTATTATTTTTAGTTTTACGAGATTAATTTTTATTTAAACTTCTAAACATATAGACGAAACACAAGTTGACACAGAAAATTAGAGCAACAGCCTTCAATCTCCTGCATGGATGGCTAATAAAAGCTGTTGGGCTTCCACTTCTGGCCCTTGGGTTAAAGGGTGCAATTCTAGTTTGAGCCCACCTCAAAAATGAAAAAGTCAATTTAATCCTTTTAACTTTTAAATAAAAAAAAATCTCAATTTCGACCCCTTCCGAAAATATTTATTCAAATCTTTTAGTTTTATCATGACCCGGAAAATATATTAAAATTAAATTGTAATTACAAAATGATAATTTTATTAACTTTTGTATGTCGTTTTCGTGTTATGTTTATAATATCCAAGACGAGACAAGTAGGAGCAGGTAGAGGTAGGGTTAGGATGTAAGAAAATGACATGATATGTTACGGAAGCAAATTAACCTAATTCCCCACTTTGATCTTGTTTTCTTTTTACTGATACAGTCTCAACAGAAAAAGAAAACCCACATTTGCCAAGGCATCGATAGTATAAATGTTCATATCTTTCACCCACTAATTAGTCCAAACAAGAGCTTCAACAACACAATAATGAAGACGTTATCGGTTGAATCCGGTGAAACATCCCACAACACAAACCCAGAAAACTCGATGATCAATGGGGTTGCTATACTAGATTTCGTACTGAGATTCCTTGCTGCCGGTGGGACACTAGCGAGTGCTATGACAATGGGTACCGCTGAAGAAACTGTATTGGTGTCTCAGTCCATTCTATTAAATGCCAAATTTAGTGATCTTCCCATGTTCACGTGAGTTATATACGATAATGTTACGTTGCGATCGTTGTTTAACAGGTTCTTGACGTGTCACATAATTTTTACAGGTTCTTTGTGATTGCCAATTCGGTTGCGTGTGCCTATCTTGTGCTTTCTCTTCCCCTATCTTTCTACCATATCTTCAGAAGAGCAGCCAAAAAGAGTCGACTCGTCTTGGTCACGTTCGACACGGTGAATATGATGAACAGCTTTAATTTCGAGGAATCTTACACTTATTTTTACGATAATTTTCGATATTATGTGTGTCTTACTTTTTTGTTCCAGGCAATGCTGGCCTTGGTCACCGCCGGAGCTTCAACTGCTGCCTCGATTGTGTATTTAGCACACGAAGGGAATGCCAATGCGAATTGGTCCGCGGTTTGCCAACAATTGGATTCCTTCTGCGAGCGCACTTCGGGATCGTTGATCACCTCTTTCATTTCAGCATTCGTACTCATGTTCGTTATTGTTTCATCGGCCATTGCCATCTCTCACTGCTGATTCAATGCGACGATGAAACAATGCATCTCTATATGTATTTGATACATTACGGTTCATTGATGTGTAGATTTGGCGTTCGAATTCTGGTTTTTATACTATCATATTTAAGCCTGTAACCTTCTTTATACCCAAAAATTAGTATCTATCAAGCAAGTAACACTGCTTCCTGCTTTTACTTTGATTCCATCAAGTGAGTATAAGTTGTGAACAGCACCGTAATCACGATAATTCTCAATTCAGACAAGTCAGCCGTGTATCAGATCGCTATTCATTAATTGTTCGAGCGCCGCTCCGGTGAGCGGCCATGTTTTGGGCTCCTTTTTATTCCTTTGGTTCCATCTGTGAATAAAGGGCAATGAAATGACCATGCAAGCTAGCATCACCGGCACCATCTTGCATCCGTATGAAAAAACTAAAAAGAGCAAGATTGTCTCGAACTTCGTTCTTTTATTATGATCGTCTTGTTAGTATTTCACATACTGTTGCGGATGATGCCATTTCAGGCTAATGTACTGTACTGTATATTATATTTTTTTTTCAAAAAAAAATGTTAGCCCTTATTTGAGCATATTAAAAAATATTGGGCTCTTATTCAATTATTTTAAAAATATTTATATTTACGTTTGACCCCTTTTGAAATGTTAGACCCTTATGCGAGTAAACCCTAAAATCAGACCCTAATCTAAATATTTAGTTTGGCATATTTTTGAAATACTTCTTGTAATATAAAAACGTGAGACTTTCAAATTAAAGTATATAATATTTCATATGTTGAGATATTCATGTCAAAATATGATATATTTATAAGGTGTTGCTTGATCGAGTTGAACTGAAACATTTTTTATAAGATATAACCGTGAAACTTTCAAGTCAAATAAGAAAAAAAAATCATATCATACCCTTGTTACAATACAGAATATGAGCTCAATCAAAAAAATAATACATCAGTGCGGCTGTGAGTACTAAGAATTTATGGTTGGAAATTAGGAGTCGGGGTGAGAAGGTCTACTGTGGTCTCCGTTGCACATCTCGAAACATGCGGTGATCACCTGGCTAGCCGTCCTTAATCGACTGGCTACTAAGGATAGGTTGTTGAAGATCGGATTGATGGTGGAAGAAAAGCGTGTCCTTTGTGGGTGGAGACAGAGTCAAGAAGCCATCTTTTCTTTGAATGTATGTTCTCAGCAAGAATTTGGAGGTGGATTCTGGGTCTAGACATTGTCAATTTGGTGAAGCTTACTATACAGAATAAATCATATGATAGGAATAATTATAAGGTTGGCCTTGTAAATTTTAATCTTTGTATATAATGGGGTCCTTTGGACCGAGTATCGTGTTTTAGTTGATACTCTAATTTTTATTGTAACATCTTGTTACTTTTTCTTTTAGATATAATACAATTGTTTTATCCAACAAAAAATAAAAATAATACATATCATAATTTTTCTACATGTCATCGTCCGAATATTTTTTACCATAATCATTAAGAGGTGTCTGTAATACAATCTCTGTTTGGGAGAAAGAATGGACCCAAAGTTTCTAAAATGTGACAGAGACTAAAGAGAACAGCGAGGCAAAAGCACTAAATGGAAGCCCTGTCAAGTATGACTCATTCAAGAAACCAGCATCAGACAAGAAGCTTGTTCAAGCACGATCACTTGGTTTTGCCCTGTGATGCTAATGGTTTTTTGTACGAAAGCACATCACTTGTTCGAACAGAAGCACCAAATGCTAAAATCAGTATCATACGTGTAAACGACAAAACAAAGCATTGCAGCAATTCTAGACGCAACCGTCCACAACATTGCTGCTGTCCCCACAAGGTGTTTTTGACCACCTTGATTCCCAGGTTTTCTCATTTGGATAAGTGACGCCGTAGTTATCCAGATTCCACCACGGTTTCCGCCGATCTCCGCTCCTTTCTTCTTTTTTATATTTTTCGTGTTCACGGTTCCCACTTATTATCCAAGTTTAATGCTTATTCTTTTGTCGTATCATGTGTTCTTTATGTGGATTGTTTTTGTTGAAATAACATCCAAGCCATTTCCACCCTCCTTTATTTTCTTTTATTGTTTTCTCCAAAGATATAAGTTTTACAATTTTATTAATGTCTCTTACCGGTGTTGTAATTATCTTTTTCGGTGTCTTTCATATCACTTAAGATATAGTTAACTCGCTTCATCATCTCCTACCACTTTATTAGTTTATATTTTACGTAAATTACATAAAAACTCCCAAAATTCAAAAGTCATGAAAATCATAAATCACTAATATTTATAATATCCAACATACGATCAGCGTAAAATCAAAATATAAAACTTACTTCCTCATTCTTGACCTCTTCATTATCAGAAATTTGAAAGGAAAGAAAAGTGAAATAATGAGTTTTTTAACACACACAAAACAAGGAATTTTTGGACCCTTTCATAATTTTTAAAATAAAAACAATTAATCATAATGATAGGTGATTAAAATAAGATCTGTCGAAAATTCAATAAGTACATTGAAAAAAAGTAAACTTTAGTATTGAAATAAGAGAGAAGAAAAACAATGAAATTTATAATTTACCTAAATTTATATGGACCATCCAAATTAAATTTGGGTTTTACAAATTTTCTTTTATCTTAATTTAATCTATTTTGTATCGAGCATTATTTCAAAAGTAATTGTACGGACCAATTAATCAATCCAAAATATATAAACAGCAAGCAAATAGTTTTTACAATTTTTTTTTCCAGAATGGATAAAGGTGGCCCATTTTCTACTGAAATTGAAACGTGGTGGGATGATTCGTTAAGCTCCCATTCTGGTTCACTTGAAATTTCCCAGAATCAGTAGTGTAATAATTATAAGGTATTTCTCCAATCTGAAGCTTTTCATCATCTTCAATCCCGGTATTAGCTATAGGGTTAGTGAAATCAAAGAATGAACCGTAAGTATTTTCGGTCAGAAGATGCGAAATCGGCCCCATGTAATCCATTTCCGGTAACTGAGAAAGCGAGCATGTTCTTGGGAATTTTAACAATTGTTGGTTTCCACCGTCGATCTGTGCGTTCGATTCCTCAATTTGTTGATCCAAAGCTTTTCCGGCGGAACTCTTCTTCTTGTAGATTCTACAAAGCACCCAATCGTCCAGCTGAAAAAAAAACGAACACACAAAACAGTTCACACAACAATTTCATCAAACGGTTCATGGACATGAACAAACAGGGACGAGCGAATCTTACTCTCATGGATCCATTTTGCCCCCTGACTTGTTTTCGCGAATCGTTTAATCTATATTCGTGCATGATCCAATTTGTTTTGACACCCTTTGGTGGTCGGCCATTGTAGAAGACAAGAGCTTTCTTCACACCAACGTATTTAAAATCACTGCATATGGCTTTGTCGGTTCCGGTGGCCTTCCAATAGCCGGAAACAGTCGCCCTATTCGGACGAACTCCGTTTGGATACTTCCGATCTCGTGGGGTGAAGAAATACCATTCATTTTCGCCAGACTCTGTTTTGTCTACCAAAAAAAAATCTGATTCAGTTTAAGCACAATAAGAGATGAACAAAGAATGATAAATTGGATGAAAATTAAACTAACCAGGCAATTGCCATGGATCAAATTTGTAAATATCAACTTCTGTGATTATTGAAGCAGGGCATGGCTTTGATTTGGCCTGGTTTTTTAGGTAAAACATGATTAATTCCTCGTCCGTAGGGTGGAATCTGAAACCAGGGGGGAGGCCAGAGCTTGAACTGTTGTTTGTTTTTCTTTCCATTTCCATTCAATTTTCCTCTTATCCAAACAGGAAATTCAAATTAAGGGGGAGATGATTTGAGAGGAAGAGGAAGAGGTAGAGGGAAAAGAAGGGTTTTTGAAATGTTTGCAAAGAGAGGGCTGTGGTTTTTATCGTTGAAGGATTTTTGTCTTTATTCTCGAAATGAAAGGTGATTGGCTTATGCTTTGACATTTTTGTCTTTTTAAAACATTAACCTCGTATCGTTATCAGATGACGAATTCACAATAACATGTACAACACGCGCCTCTCTCTCCCCCCTCTTCTATTTTGACTTCTTGTGTTTGGTTCATTGCACCTTTGTTAGGAAATTACTGATACTTTTATTGCTTTGGGATATCCAATGAGATAATTATACTTAATTAATTATCGAATAAACCATTTTTTAGTATTTAAATTGGTAGATTTTAATTTTTTTTTCTATATATTGTTTTCTTCTATAATATCATGAAAATTTACATATAGACGAAAGAGAAAATTATGAATCAGATTAAAATTTTATTATATATAAAATTAAAAATTATTTTATCTCTTACTTAATATAATTTTATTTTTCACACGTAGAATTATCTGAAAAAGAAAACTCTTCAACCAAAATAATCAAATATATAAGCATACTGTGTGCCATTGTTAAGAAAGTTGACCATATATATATAGTAGTATGATATATAAAACAAATTTGTTTCTATCACGTGTTGATTTTAAGTATTGTAGTGAGTTGGTCTTCAAAAATAAGTTTGAAATGTGTCAAAAATTCCTTATTAATTATTTTTTTATTGGAAGATGATGCTATATGTTAAACGAGCACGTATGAGCACTGTTAATGATGAGTACCATTAAATTAATTTATAAAATGTTAAATTATAAAGTGCTAAATGTATAATTATAAATTAATTAAAAAATCTAAATGTATTTTAAAATACAACATTTATAAAACATTAGTTTTAGGGTAAATTATACCATTGATCACTTAAGTATTTATCCATTTTACTTTAATCACCGGTTTTTCAACTTTATCAATTGGGTCACATAACTATTTAAATCTTATCAATCAAGTCATCTGCCATTAATTATTAAAAGTTAGGACCAAATTAATAGAATGTGTAAGTAATGATGACTAAATGTATAATTATACAAATTGTATTAACTGTCATGTCATCTCCTCCATTAATATTTAACGTCAGGTGGATTGATTTATAAGATTTAAATAATTTGGTGACCCGATTAACAAAATTGAAAATTCGGTGGTTAAAGTAAATTGAGTAAATAGTTAGGTGATCAATGGTATAATTTACCCTAAAAACTAATGTCTTATAAATA